TTGGTAGCGGGTCCGTTGGTAGCGGGCCCGTTGGTAGCGGGCCCGTTGGTAGCGGGGCCGTTGGCAGCGGGGTTGTTGGCAGCGGGGCCGGCGGCCGAGTTAAATAGTCCTAGTGGCATAAAGGGGTTGGCTTGCTGGCCCATAGCAGTTAAGGGGTTGAAGTTCAGGAAGTCCCGACCCTGGGGAAGTGCGGGCGTGACTCCCGGATTAGCGGCAGCGTGAGCCGAGTGGGGCCCGAACATTCTCGACAAGTCCGGCTGCGGCGAGTCCTGCATCGACGACGAGCCCGACTGCAATACATCGGTATGTGGTGAGGACACACGTGTGGTCAGCACCCGCGTGTGGTGAGCACACACGTGTGCTGCATCGCAATGTTACACGTGATGAGTTATATGTGTTGGAGAGCGACTTACTCTGGGAAAGGGAGTATCTTCGATATCGTTCCGTCTTATAACTAAATGGGTTGGATCTGAGGGGGGTGGCGAGTCTTCTTCTTCTGCCGGCATGGTTGTAAAATCATTGTAGAGTGACCGTATAGCGTCCATGCCACCAGGTACGGCTTCAACATTATTGAGTGCTCGGTCGGTGGCTTTGAGCATCTCCCGGGCTGCAGCCGGATTGCTGAGCGTTTTCATAAGATCTAGGATCTCTTTGGGGTCGGAGAAGAGTGCTGAGATTTGTGGATTTGATCTTTTAAGCTGCTGGATCTGAGGATTACTGTCAAATAATATTTGCAACAAGTCCGGTGAATTCATTAACAACTGCACAAACGGATCTTGCAGCATCTTAGAAATCATCGGCACGCTCGGCGTTGGCGCTGCCGGTACCGGACCACTCCCCGACGACTGAGGAGGAGAATTCTCCAAATAGAATACCGTTTCCTCATCCGTTAAACCCAACTCCAGAATGCTTTGGAAGGGATTTTTCACCTCACCCTTGTACACAAATCTGACACACATCGAATGACACACATCGAATGACACACATCGAATGACACACATCGAATGACACACATCGAATGATACACATCGAATGATACACCTGGCCACCTATCTATCTGGTCGCTCACCTGACCGGCCGGTCACCCTAGGTGATCGGTTGGTTGGTCGCCCGATGTTGTCACCGGCCATCCGATGGTATCAGCGATATACCCAGTGACGGACCAAATGGTGTACCAGCTGATGTACCAACAGACGTACTAGGTCGTTGCAGAGCATCAGGTGATTCCAGGATACAAGATGCGGGGG